GATTTTTCTTTGAAATAGCCAGCATCAAAATAGGATCATTTAATTCAAAGCACTTATTAATAAAAACTTAGATAATTAAAACAAAAGAAGAAATCTCAAACCTAATATGCCTTGCATCATTTATGTGTCAGTTTTGCATTTTATTCTCACTCATCTTAGATAATGAAATGAGACCAGGTCCCACAATTGCTCTTCTGTAACTAACTGTTCAGCATTCAGTTTCTTGAATTTTTCAGTGAGGTTCGTCTTCCCATTGTAATGAATTAGTGTAATGCTATTGTGCTGTAGCTTCCAGTACTGCATATTACCAGTGAGAACCATTCTCAGCAATAAATTAACTTTCTAACCTTGATGAAAATCGTGAATCCTACATTTTCTTACATTGTGAATCTTAAATAAGCACACACATACGTATGTACACATATACATCCCTTCTAATAATATGTGTTATACTCTCCATTTGAATTGAATGTGTTATACTCTCCATTTGAATTATTTTTATTGATACCTTTATTTATTTGACTAAGAATATTTTAGGAATACTGAAAATAATATCAATATTCTTCTGGAAAAGTCTCAAAAGTCTTTTATTTCCTATTAATTCTTTGGTTATTCCTATAAAATTCAGATGAAACTGATTATTCAGTCTCTTCTAGATAGGGTAAAATAAACTTTCTGAAAATCTCTCGCAAGCGGGGACTCGACAGTCTCGATAACATACCGTCCTTTCATTCTGTGCTTACCTACCAAAAGTAATCTTAGGCTTTTCTATGTAATAAAATATACTAATATATAAAAAATTATTTTTAGTAAATAAATTTATTTATTTTAATAAATAATAATAATACTTTATTATTTTCTAATACCCACTCAAACTGGAATAGTAAAAATTACCAAATAGACACTATTTTCTTTTCTAAAGATATTTTTTATTTTACTAAATTGGGATCATTGACTATATTTCCATCTGGAAGGAAAGGACCTTGCCTTATATTACTATTTCTGTGTCATCCCTTGGATTAGCACAGGGCTGAGGCAGCTATGTTTTGAGAATTGAGTGTGAGGCTGGGTATGGTGGCTCATGCTTATAATCCCAGCACTTTGGGAGGCCAAGGTGGGTGGATCACTTGAGGTCAGGAGTTAGAGACCAGCCTGGCCAACATGGTGAAACCCCATCTGTACTAAAAATGCAAAAATTAGCTGCATGTGATGGTGCGTGCCAGTAATCCCAGCTACTTGGGAGGCTGAGGCAGGAGAATTGCTTGAACCTGGGAGGTAGAGGTTGCAGTGAGTGGAGAGATTATGCCACTACACTCCAGCCTGGGCAACAGAGTGAGACTCTGTTTCAAAAAAAAAAAAAAAGAATTGAGTGTGAGCTGCTTGAAATTCCTCCCTGGCTGTATTCCTCTGTTGTGTTCTGGGCTTTCTGCCATGTTCTTGGGCAGTACTTCACTTCCATTCTTCCCATTTCCAAGTCTTCTTTTGCAGACTGACGAATTTTTGTAATTTATTATAGAGAAATGTAGCTCTCTCGTTATCCAGTGCTGCTTACCAGACCACACCCAGAAGGACCTAGACTTTCTCAACTTGAGTGTCTCCTCTAGATTTATCTAGTTATTTTCTTCAACAAAAGAACTATTAATAAGTGATATACGTGTTGCTCCTCCCAAGAAGGCAAAAAGTCATCTTTTTTCATTTTTACAAAACAGCATAGCAGGATTTATTTTCCCCTCTCGGCTATGTAGATATTTTTTCAACAAATATGTTTAGAGTATGTTGTCCATGTAAAGCTTTATATAGAAGAAGTCATTATTTACTTCTAGAAACTCTCATCTCAGGAAGTGAACCCCAAGAAGGTGAAGCAGATAGCTACATAAATAAGTTCTAGTGTCTTCAGGAAAGAAAGAACTTTGGATGTGCTTGTGGAAACTCTGACTATTATGTTTGCGATATCATGGAGAATGGGGCAGAGGCAAGAATAGAGAGGAGTTGATGTTAACTCGATTTTACCAGAAATTAAAGATTCTGAGAACTCCAGAACTTCAGAACAAACCAATGAGTTTGACATCAGTCTCTAACAAACTTTAGACAATTATCAAAATAAAAGTAAGCCTCTTGAAAAATGGCACTGACTATTAAGAATCAGCATGGGGTCGCTAAGAACAAAGCAGCCACGCGTAAACTAGTTTACGTTTCCTCTTCAAAAGAGAATGTAACTGGATTTTTGCAAGTATTTTAATCAAAATACTCATATGTTCCTAGAAGATAAGTTAGAGATACTTTAGAATATGGTTAGGAACTTTCCAAAATGGCGGAATTATCTCTTTAAAAGTGATTAAGAATGAACTTTGGAGTCAGACGGCCTTAGGGGTTCAAATTGAAGCCCTGTACCTTATCAACCATGTAAATTTGTGAAAATTGTGTAAGCTTCCTGAACCATAATTCCCTCAACTATAATAAGGATTAAAAATTATCTGTGTCATAAGGATACTGTGTTTCTTGTGACATAATTTACATAAAGTGCTTTTTACTCCTTATTATATAAGTGCTCAATACAAATGATAGGGGTTGTGTTTTATTCCCATTATCTAGGGTTGATTGATTGTTGCCAATCTGAAGAGAGGTCTCTGAGACATGCACTGGTACTTTTTTTTGCCAATGATTTGAAGGAAAGCATTGAAATAATATTGAAATAATGAAATATTGAAATAATGAAATAACAAAAATATTGAAATAATGATATTGTCAGGCTCCTTGCCAGGCTATGTGCTTTTTCAGGAAAGGGACCTGTCTTCTTGTCCTTGGTATGATCATTGCCTGACCCATAGTAGCCACTCAGATGTCTTTTAAAGAATGACACACAAAGAAATGTGGTAACCAAGACATTGGATAGCAAAATCAGGAATCCAAATATCTCAAATAATTAGAACAATGAGCCAGTACCAGAGATAAACTCTAGAATGGATGGAACACGTTGTAAGAGGCTTGATTAAACAGAATTTGGTATGAAAAAGATTTAGATGCTTTGAGATGTTTTAGTTTTATAAAAATTCGAGCACTAAGAATAATATGATGCCAACCCCTCCTCAGAGTGCATTTTCTGCCTCCACAAAATTCTAAATTATTAGAAATAGAGTCCAGAACAAGGCAGGCATCAGTACCCATGTATTTTGCATAATTAGACCACATTTCAAATAATGCATTCAGTTCTGACTGCCACATTTAGGAAAGGCATGGACAAACTGGAATCTCTCCAACATGGTGATAGGCCTTAAAAGCCGTATCATGTTATAATGATTAAAGGAATGTTCAGCTGAAGAAAGAGGAGATGTAGAGAAAAATGATAGCCATTTTTCAAATACTTGAATAACTTTAATGTGGAATAGGGATCAAATTTATCTTCAGAAGCTTTAGAAAAAGTTCATATCAAAGAACAGAAAATTCAGGAAGGTATTGGTCAAAAATAAGGAAGATCTCTATTTAAAATGAAACTAGATTGTCTTAGAGGTAGTAATGTATTATCTTCAAAGTTATTTAATTTTAATTTACTTGGCCAATGATTGCTGCTCACATATATGTGCATCCCATGTATACATCCTATATATGAAAGAAGCCTTCAAGAGTTTGCAGGTTAGTTGATTTATATAATTTATAATTTCCATATATGTAGTTATAAATGTACCTGTAAACATTTACTGAGCAAATATTTATTGAACTCATTACATGTCAATCTTGTGCTAGATGATGGGCAAGTTGAAGCAAAGGCAATATTTTGTAAGAAATTTTTGCTTGGGTGAGATATTGGAAGAAACTTTGATATTTGAGAACAAATCAATCTAAAAATAGCATAGTTTACTTGATTTAAATGTCATTAAGGAATCAACGGTCTGAGAGAATTAAAATCCCACCTCTAGAGTACAGTACATTGACAAAATGGGTTGAAATTACAAGTCAAATGCATGTGCTTTCCATCTATTTAGCCCTATATTTTTTATACTTTGTTTTGATCATGTTATACTTGCATGACAAATAATACATATAATTTTGGCATGTTTCTAAAATCTTGTCTTGCTTCTTCAATACCTGAATTCCATTTACATACATAACTATAAAGAGATATGCAGCCAACCAACTTTTTTTTTTAATACCACAAACAACAATAAAATAAATTAACTGTCTACTGCTCCTTAGGGAGCAAAAATGATTCCCTTTCCTTAAGAAGTTTACTTAATGCTTTTCCTATTATCCTTTTCTCTTCAGAAAAAGTAAAAGGATCATAACTAACAGATGTATCTGATTTGCTATCAGAAAATTTAAAAGCAAAATGTGCAACATACAACATACACAGCGATGTTCATTTTGTTCATCAGAGTTTGAGAACTCTGATTTTATTTTCTCCCTCTGCCTTTTGTTTTGCAAACAGTTGCTTTAGAAAAGGTGAAAATACAGTAATTCTCTATGTTTAAATAAAGCTATATTTTTAAGACAGGAACATAAAAAGAGCCTATTTTTGTTAAATGGTTAGATTTAATTAGAAGAGGGTGATTCTAAAAAGGAAACAAACAGAAAGCTGTAGAACAGCCCAGTCCTGCTCACTGCAGCCCAATCCTGATTCAGCAAATAGGTATTTGCCAGTAGCAATGAGCATTGTGTACTACAATGACGGTGCTGCTGAACTCGATACTGTTCCCACACCTCAGTTAGTCGGGCCCAGTGCGTGGGTAAATCATGAAGTCACCGGGTACTTGAGCAAAATATTGAAAGCAATGGAGGTTATGAGGGTTTAGAGACAGGTGGAACTGGCTACCTGATCACAGCCACGCCCAACTTTTAAAATGTACCTGGCAACAAAATTCATGCCAATATGACACCTGTCTGCTTAGGAAATTCCTGACGAAACACAGAAGGGCAGGCTTGGGATCTTAATAGTGTTGTGACTGTGATTTCCTTAGGAGCTTCTCTGGAAAAGGCTCAATACTCTTTTCTCACTTGTTTGCCAGTTGGAATTTGAAGGGAGCTTGATAACTGTGTTCTATGTGGATCCAGCATTACAACTGATAAGGTAAGGGCAATTATATCTCTTTGTTTGATCATTAAAGTCAGAGTATAAAGAAATCTACTACTACTCCATCTTCCCTTTCAAATGTAGATTACTAGGGCAATCTTGCCAGTGTATTTCAGGATCTTGAACTTGAGGGATAGAATTGTCTGGTGCCTGCTTTAAAAAGAGATAGCCAGCCCCTGCAATAACTGTCGGTACAGTTTCTAGCTAATGAAATGCAGAGAAATGAGGAAGACGGTGAGCTGTGCTTGTGTGGTAACAGGTGATTTCAGAGGAAAATGTCAAAGTAGCTCATCTCCCAAGGCCCTACATGATGATGTTTTAGTAGCCACTTTTATTCAGAGATTTAAATTTATGAAAAGAGAATCATAATGACATCTTAATTGCTCTGAAGGTGTCTTTTCAAAAGAATTGTCACAGGAACAGTTCCTTCAGAGGAACAGAGAAATCAAAGGTGTTTGGCTTTTTGTGAAAGAGTTGAGGAAAGCCTTCTGTCCTAGAAGTTAACATTTATGGATCTCTCTGGCAAATAATAGTCTCCGTTTCAAGTCCATTATGTTTGATGAGGATTCAAAAAGTCTTAATCGAATCTAGCAGTCATTGCTGCTTCTTTCTTTCCTAATCTCCCTGATTTTGAATTATGAGATCTTTATTTCTTAAAATAAAACATCATTTGTTAAAGCCTTTTCAAAATTAAGACTAAAACCATCACAACTAATTGTTTCTTGGCATCAAATAAACAAATTTTTAAAGTTTGATAAATTGTTTGTAAGCTCTAATCAAGTGGGTGGAGTCATAAAAGAGGGGAGGGAACCCACTGAAACAATATATGTAATTTGTTTGCATTAGTATTTGAGATAATTATAAAGCAAGTGTTCAAAAGCTGTCCTTTATACCAGAAGGGGGAAAGATAGGAGAGGAAAAGCATAAGAACACCCAGCCATTGTCAGCTGCTCTCTAAAATATTGCTGGATTCACAATTGTCGAACATTAGCATTACTAAGAATGCCGGGAACAGAGTGTCACGTTGAATGTAGAATGATGACTTCATAGGAAGGCAAAGCTGAGGATATGACCAGTTTGCAGTCACAGAAAAATCAGCTTTAATTAATTTGAGTGCCAGCTCTGTGTATAATTACACAGCATGAGAGTTTGCATGCAAATGCAGAAATGCTGATTGTTCAAATACTTGCACTTGCTCATTAATACGTTGGGACTAAGCAGGGCTGGCAAGCAGACAGGGTACGGCACACACGGTGCCTGCAGGCTAATTTGTATTATACTGTAGTTAGCAAACAGATTTCAGATGTTTCTCCTTTCTTTAAATAATAAGCACAAAAATATGTATGTCATTTTCATCGGTGACATACCTTGTTTTCTTTTTGATTAAAATAAAATGTTTTGGGTTTCTGCAAAAGTGTTGAGGGTACATTAAACATAACTAGAACACTGATTTATAACCATTTGATATCAGTAACACTGATGCCAGGTCTGGGATATTTCTATTTGACATTTCATGTAATTGTCCAAACTGATCATATTTCATAATTGGTGAAACTATATTCAAACAATATAAGTTTATGATTAAATCCCATGGATGAACAAAGGGAGAGACACAGCTGTATTGCCTACTTGTCTGTCAAATCCAGTATCTTGTAGCCAGCATTGGCTAGGTCCAGAAGCTTCAGTAGGACTGATTTCTTTGTGAAAGTACCTAATCCTAAAATGTCCTGTGGTGAGATTTTCCATTCTGACCACTGAATCTTTTCAGAGATCAGCTTCAACCAAATGCCCAACTACCTTGACAACACCCTAGGGGAAAAAGTCTGCCTAAATCACTATGCCAGGAACATCTGACAATTTATTAAGGAAATTGCATTAAAAAAAAGGGATTTGCCCAAGTTCTCCAAATCTGGTACTACTATCAATGCTGTCAGTTTTCTTGCCAACATTTCAATGTGTTTCAGTTCTACAAATATTTATACAGCACCCATTTCTGTTAGACACTGGAAAGCAGAGGATATACCATAGTAAGCCAGATAGATACAGTCTCTGCATTGGCTATCTCTTTTCTCCCAGGAATTGTCTCAGGAAGGAACCTAACTCAGTTCCCTGGGAAATACATGCTTTTAGCAGTCATTACCTTGGGGAAAACCCACATTACAGAAACTTGAATCTATGGCCTTCCTTAAATACAGTTTTCATGGTCCTTCTGGGAGCCTGACTTGCTCTCTGATATTCTTTCAACCCTATTCTTGTGTAAGATGAAGGAAGCTACCTCTGCCTTGAGGGTTGAATGGAAATTTAAAGGATATGTGAAAGAGTCAATCAGGCAAGCCCAAAAGTTTCAAAGGAATAGATTGAAGAGGAAGGCTGTCATAGCTTTCCCTGAAAAAAAATATCTGTAAGAATAGTCATTTCTCAAGGAAAAAAAGGTGAACATGCATGTAGGTGGATATAGGGCACTTTACACCATTGGGTCTAACCAAAAGTAGGCAGGCATCTACCTACATGTTTTCACTATGACCAGCTGAGGAACACCAGCTAGACAGCATCGCCCCTTCTTTCTAAAAAATCCGCCAATGTACATGTACAAAGATGGAAGGTGACAATAAAAACACTCATACATACCACCTAAGCTTCCACTTCACTTTCAGAGTAGTCATAGCCTTCTCATGCTACATATCACAAATATGCAACAAGGAAGAAGAAAATCCAGGATGGTGAAAGAACTCAAGGGTATCTTCATGATGTACAACACAGTAATTTCAGAACAGTGGTTTTCAGAGAATAACTATGAATTGCAAGTACCCTGAGCTCAAACAACTTTTCCATATAGCTATGTCATGGTCAGACACACATGATTAGGAAACAAAAGAAAAAGAAAAAAAAAAAGAAATTTCCAAAATATGTATGAATTAAGAAAATAACATCTTGCTGGAATCAAAATATTAAAAAATATTTGCTATGTGGATTATTGGTATCTTTACCAAGGAGAGTTAAAAAACATCATAGGGGTTTTTGCCTATAAGAAATGAATTCTAATGGGGTTATGGTAATATATGAAAGGAACCATATTCACAGATGATGCAAGTAATTTAATAAAGCTATTAAGGGAAAGGAAAGAAAGATAATATATTTGTAAAGAAGAAAGAAGAGAATTTATTCTGGAGCTAGAAAATTTTCAGGAAACCTGAGAAAACTCTAGCTACAGAGATGAAGAAAGCATGTAACCCAGTGTAGAAGCACAACACACTGGGGTAGTTCAGGATGGTCAATCGCCCTGATTAATACAGCGTGAGAACCACAGAAAGAATGAAAGCAGCCAGTGAGTCAGCAATGATTAGGTCAACAAGAACTGTTTCCTGAGATTTGTGGGCTGCAATATGTATTCCACAGAAGACATATTTCAAGGACATGAGAAGAATGAAGGGGAGAATAATTGAAGATAGCAAATGTGAGGAATCTGTACCCAGAAAGTGAAGCGGAAGAAGTAAGCAAGGAAAGTTTTAGGCAAGTGGAGATTTGACGATGTTTGTAGAAGGGAAGAAATTAGTGGAGCAGGGGCAATTGGAGTTGTTAGGGTAAATGTGTCATTAATGGAACAGGAGTTGGGGAGAATCCAGGTAGTTATGCTAGCTAAAGAGTTTTGTTTTCTGTTGTTGTTGTTGTTATCTTATTCCAATAGAGAAGGACAGGAAAAGAGGATGGTGTCAGGAAATCTGAGGTGGAGGCGAGGAAAGTTATGAGAGTATGTGCTAGATGCCTTTGGTCCGGTGTGGACATTGGTGAGATCATCTCCTGGGAAAGTAAGTATAGGAAAGGGTGGGAATGACATAGAGATAAAAACAACTTCATTCTCGTGCTGAAGAAAAGGGAGAGCAAAATAATTTAAAACAATTTACAATGAAAATGGGTAAAAGAAAATATAAGGAGAATGAAGAAATGGAAACTGGTTATTGTAAAGTTTCACTTAAATATTAACTTGTGCCAAGGTTAAATGAGTAATGAGTCTGGACTTGGGATTACCTAACAGTCTCTAAGTTTACATTTTCCAATATCAGCACACCAAAAGTAATGGTTTTTTTGTTTGTTGTTTGTTTGTTTGTTTTATTTTTAGTTTAGTGCTCTTGTATTCTACATTAAGGAAGGAAGTGTGGGGCAGATATCTGCATATGAAATACAGGAGGCCAGTAAGCCACAAAAGAGCTTAGTCTTTAAGGAAAAACCTATCATCTCTCTGGAGCTACCCCTTCTCCCTGCTTATCTTTGGCCTTGCTGGTAACAGTAAATGTATTTATTTAACTATGTGAGACAAGCCTGTATGGGGATGCTTAGGCCTCCCTTCATCATCATACTTCCCCTCTTACACAACCCAGATTCCTGTTGGCTCATACCACCTAGGTGAAACACCAAATTCAGGGCAGCTATCTCCTAAAAAGCAGTTAAATCTAATACCTATGCATTGCTTGGCAAAAAAGGAAGGCCCCAAAGGTCTGATTGTCTGCTTAATGGGTCTGGAATTACAATTAACATTTAGGATAGGTGCATTCTTAGGCTTAACTGGCTAGTCTGGTTTTCCTGCCTCAAGACAGAGCATAGCATATCAGTCACTAAGTGGCTGCCAGTGGACACAGGGCATCCGCTGGGAGTGGCGGGCTTGGGTATGGTCTAACAGGGGTGCTGAGCATTGAGATTCCTGGAGAGATTGGTGGTAGTGGTATGTGGATGTCTGGGCCCTCAAGGACCAGATAGTAATCAGTAGGAAAAGGAACAAGACAAAAATGGTCTCAGAATACGTCCAGCCTGCTATTTGCTGCTGCTTCCAATTTCCTACTTCTTTGGTCCTCTTTCTCTGCTTTCCTCTTCCCCACCTTTCCCAGATCCCAAGTCTAAGGGTCCTGTTGACCAGGTAAAAGAGTTTGTAACATATAGGAAATAGAGAATGTTGAAGATTTTTAAACAAAGGAATGAAACTCACCTTAATTCAAAACCAAGGATTTCTTGAGGAGCTACTTTATATCAGGCACTGGAGTGTATGTGGGGGATTTGAAGATAAATATGTTAGGCCTTTTACTTAAGGAATTCATCATCTAATGGAAAGACAAAACTGTTAAACTCAAATGCTGGATGACATAGAGGCACTGAAGAGAGGAAAAGAAGATGATGACAGCAAAAGGCACTTCTGCAGAAAAAGAAAAATACTAGCAAGAGAAATGTCTGAAGCAAATGCATGTATATATGGGAATGCACATAAATATGAACAAAACCATGTTTTCTTTTTTTTAGTTTTATTTATTTATTTATTTTTTGAGATGGAGTCCCGCTCTGTCGCCTAGGCTGGAGTGCAGTGGCGCCATCTCAGCTCACTGCAACCTCCGCCTCTCAGGTTCAAGCAATTCTCTGCCTCAGCCTCCCGAGTAGCTGGGATTACAGGCACCCGCCACCACACCCAGCTAATTTTTGTATTTTTAGTATTGGCCAGGCTGGTCTTGAACTCCTGACCTTGTGATCCACCCGCCTCAGCCTCCCAAGGTGCTGGGATTACAGGCGTGAGCCACCACGCGCAACCCTGTGTATTATTTTTCTCACTGCAATGTATGTTATTTGGATGCAGAAAAGCCTACAGGTGTGCATCACCATGCCAGACTAATTTTTGTGTTTTTAGTGGAGACAGGGTTTCACCACATTGGCTAGGCTGGTCTCAAACCCCTGACCTCAGGTGATCTGCCCGCCTCTGCTTCCCAAAGTGCTGAGATTACAGGCATGAGCCACCGTGTCAGGCTAGGAGCAGCTCTTAAATGGCTAAATTCCTGTAGCCAGGTCAGCCTGTGAAAGAACAGCAGGAAGTCAGCCTATAGAAAAGAGGTGATGGGCTGGGCGTCATGGCTCACACCTATAATCCCAGCACTTTGGGAGGCTGAGATGGGAGGATCACTTGAGGCCAGGAGTTTGAGGCCGGCCTAGGCAACAGCAAGATTCCATCTCTATAAAAAATTTAAAAGGTTATATAAGCATGGTGGTAGTCTGAGATATTCAGGAGGCTGAAGCAGGAGGATCGCTTGAGCCCAGGAGTTCGCGATTTCAGTGAGCTGTGATCGTGTGAGCTATATGCACTCCAGCCTAAGAGACAGAGCAAGACCCTGTCTTTAAAAATAAAAATTTTAGGGCTGGGCATGGTGGCTCACGCCTGTAATCCCAGCACTTTGGGAGGCTGAGGTGGGCAGATCACGAGGTCAAGAGATCGAGACCATCCTGGCCAACGTAGTCTCTACTAAAAATACAAAAATTAGCTGGGTGTAGTGGTGCACGCCTGTAGTCCCAGCTACTTGGGAGGCTGAGGCAGGAGAATCACTTGAACCAGGGAGGTGGAGATTGCAGTGAGCGGAGATAACGTCACTGCACTCCAGCCTAGTGACAGTAGAAGACTCCGTCTCAAAAATAAAAATTAAAATTAAAAAAAATTTTAAATGTTTTTTAAAAGGGATGGAAAAGAGGATATAAATGGTGGAGGTACCTTAGAGGAGAAATTGACAGAGTTTTGCATATTATTGCAGAGAGAGACAGGAAAGCTGTCATACTTGACTTTAAGGTTGCAAACCTTGGTGATGACATTTTTGAAAAAATAGGAAACACAGGAGGAGATGTAAGTGTGAGAGGGAAGATAACGAATCCAATTTGGACATAATGAGTGTTTTAGGTGCCAGAGCTTGTCTTTCCAGAGAAGAGCAGAGTGCAGGTGGAAACCTGTATTTAGCACTGAGGAGACTCAGGGCTAACAGCGGAGCTGTGGGCATCCTCTGCAGACAAGACCCAAAGGATAGGTGAGATTGTCAACGAAAGAGAGAACAGGTGAGAAAAGGGCTACGGAACAAACTTTTAGATCACATACACATAGAATGCAAAGAGGAAAGAGACAGAAGTTGCAGTCACACAGTTAAAAAGAAAACTGAGAATGTCCCAAGAAAGGAAGAAAGGGTGGAGAGTTTCTGGAAGCAAGGCCTGATCAGGTAACAAGGAGGAGACACAGACAAGGAAGATGGAATATGAGAATATTAGATGTCACAATGACTTAGTCATGGATGACTTTCAGGAGAGAAATTTCATGAAGAGATTTCTCTTTATAGGAAGAGAAGTCATAAGCTGGGTGATAAGGACGTACCAAATAGTTCTAATGTATTTTAATATTGAAACAAAAGCAAAGCATTAAGCTTTCCAGGGGTTTAGCCCTAAACTGGA